CCTTCTCCCCGTTTTCTTTTCCGTGTTTTTTGTTTTCCTTTGCTCCCCCCGCGATTATGGAAATCGCCGCTAGTTATTCCGCCTTAGCCCACAGAGATCTCCCCTTCTATGCGGGCTAAGGCGCTAAAACTCGTGGCGACGGTGTTGGATGACGTTACCATCAACTCACTCTTCTGGCTCGGGGCTAATTACCATCGCCCCGTGGACCTCCCAGACACCACAGGACTAAGCTAAAGGGATGGGATCTGGAAAGCGTCCGGCCCCGATCCAGAACCAGCCCGCCGTCAAGCCCGCCGGCCATAGCTCTCTCCAGCCCGCCGGCCATTCCTCAGTCAAGCCCACTGGCCGCGGCTCTCTCCAGCCCACCGGCAGCGGCATTCCCAAGTCCGCAGGCCGTTCCTCAGTCAAGCCTGCCGGCCGCGGCACTCTCCAGCCCGCCGGCCGCCCTATTCACCCGTAACCAAGGGAGGAGGATGAGAAGAAAAAGACTGTTCACAGCCCTCATCCCAGCCCCAGAGCTCGCTCCAGTGTCAGCTCGCTCCAGTGTCGGCTCCAGCCCCAGAGCTTGCTCCAGTGAGGGCTCCAGTCCCAGAGCTCACTCCAGTGAGGGCTCCTGTCCCCGAGTTTAGCCCAGTGAGGGCTCCAGTTCCTGTGTTTAGCCCAGGGAGGGCTCCTGTTCCCGAGTTTAGCCCACGGAGGGTTCATGTTCCTATGTCTGGCCCACGGAGGGCCTCGGAGCCCGTAATCTTCCCCAAGTATTTTTTTTGAGGGGGGTAGTAGGACGCCAGCCGTAGAGGCTGGGGCAGGGGCTGGGGCCTCGGCCTCGGAGGCAGCTCCACCATGGCTCCCTGGTCTGCCTGCTCCGCCATGGCCTCCTGAGCTCCCGGCTCCGCCATGGCTCCCCGGGCTCCCTGATCCGCCATGGCTTCCCGAGCTACCTGCTCCGCCATGGTGCCCGGATCTGGTACTGCCTTGGAGGCGTCCCTGTTCCATATGAGTCTGTCCTGAGGGACCTCCAAGGCGCCCCCCCTCCCATCCCCGTTGATGTTATGTGGCGTGAGGACACGCCTTCCGGAGGGGGGCGTTATGTCAGACTCTGTTTCTGTCTTGTGTTTCGTTTTGTTCCCCACGTGCTCCATGTTATGTTTGTGCCCTTATTTGGTCTTCTGTTCCTGTTCCCTGATTAGGTTAATTTGTCCCAGGTCTTTCCTATTTCTATTATGGCATTATTTCCAGGTGTTCCCCATTTAGTTCAGAGTACTTAAGCCCTGTGTTTTTCATTGTTTGGTCATTCGGTATTGAATGTCTGTATGTCTACCCTTGCAACGTGTGTTTTCCTGGTTCCCTTGAAGTTATTAAAATCTTCTGTGTTGATGTACTCTTCGTCTCCTCGCTCCGCACTCCAACACAGTAGCACCGTGACAGTATCATCCTTGCAATATATGAAGATACTGAGCAAGAATTTATGTTTGAACCTTGGACAGGTTAAACTGCATTTTGAAGTGGAAAAAAAAAACATAAGTAATAAATATTTTAAAGTGCCATTGGTATGAATTTTGAATAAATAAAGCAAACAGGCCCTTATTATGTGTTCATGTACGCAAAAATTAGATGTTCTCACCTAAAGCCCTCATCAACACATTAATAAAATAAAATAAAAATAGGTGCTCAGGTAATCCTGGGGACCATGTGAAATTCATTAATGACAGAACAGTATTTTAAAGTGTTACCAAAATGTTTATAACTACACAGGAACAAATGAGTGCTACAATATTAACATTTTAATAGCTAATTTTTTTACTAACAACAAATACCGCATAATTACTTCTAAAGTGGTCATGGTAACCCAATAGTAATTACTCAAGTATTAATAAATCCTTTAGAAGCCATTACTAATCATTTGGAACAATGCCCATATTTGGTTAGTTTCCTCTTCCTGCCCTGATTGTGTTTATTTGATCCAATCTGTGTTTCCCCAATTCCCTTGTTTCCTCCCAGATTACTTAAACCCTGTGTTTCCTAGTGTCTGGCGTCCGGTGTCTAATGTCTTCTGGTTCCCTGTTTGTGCTACGTGGATTCCTTTGTTTTGTCCATTAAAGACTGTAATCTGAGTTTATTCCTACGTCTCCTTGTTCCTCGCTCCTCGCCGTAGCAGCAGTCGTGACAATATCTGTCTCTGCTAAATTTTTTAATGTAACTTTACAATCGATATTTACATCCTTTAGCACAGCATTCTGAATGATGATAATAATGGGGTGCTACTAGCAGTTTAATACTCAACTAGGTTAATAAAGACAAAACTATCTAACATATTTAAAGATGAAACTGACCTGCACTTGAAGCCCTGAACAGGTCAGTGATGTTGCTACATTTCACTGCTTCTTCTGTCCGCTTCCTCTCCTTCATCGAGTCCCGCGCATCGGTTCTGTTCAGAATTATTTGACGGAAGCGCGGAACACACGTGAGCTGATTCGTATAGCGCAGCGCTGACAGTCAAGACTAACCAATTTATAGTTTATTATCGATTTATTATCGAATTTAAAAAATCACTGATCACTTTGGTACAATGAGAAGACATAAATATAAAATATTAATAATAATAATAACTAAAACATCAATAAATAAAAAATAGGGCAGCGGGCCAAATCAGCTGCCAGGCCACCGGGAATTCTCCCAGTGCTCCCGATGGCCAGTCCAGGCCTGCAAATATATATATATGTAGATTTTGATGTGAGAGGAGAACTAGGAATGGACATTTTTGCACTGGAAGAACCATTATTATGGATTATTTTGGCCAGAAGCAACATTTTCAACTTAAAACGAATCAATGATGGATTTGTTTCTACAAACATGCAGTTTTTCCGCTTCACAAGACGTTAACTGATGGACTACATTCTTGTGGATTGCTTGTGAATTATTGTGATGTTTTTATCAGCTGTTTGGACTCTCATTCTGACGGCACCCATTCACTGCAGAACATCCATTGGTGAGCAAGTGATGTAGTGCTAAATTTCTCCAAAACTTTTCTGATTAAAAAAACAAACTCATCTACATCTTGGATGGCCTGAAGGTGAGTAAATTCACGTTTGGTTGAACTGCTCCTTTAATAAGCGAACCTAATAGTTTGTCATTGTCTTGTGTATACATAGTTGCCATATCCTTCAGTGTGATTTATAAGCTATTCTCCATTCAAAATCATTTTAAGTTGGCATTTTGCTAATTATGAGAAACTACATGATAATTTAAATCATAATATAAAATCCATATTCATATATTCAAGACTGCACTTTGGATTTTTTAAGTAGTATTTGCAGTTTCATTCTATTGACAAATAATATCAAACCCACTGATCATTTTTCACCCTGTCAAATCATCAAATTACATTTCCATTGTCTCATTGTCTTATGATTTAAACAGACAAAAATTCGCTGAAAAGATTTACGTACTTTTTTAGATTTCGATTTTGAGATTTAAGCTCAAGCTGATTCTCTTCAAGTCATTCATCAACTCTTTGTTTACACTGTGATTTTTTGTATTACTTCCGAGTCATCTCACACAAGCCCAAGATCAATACTTTCCACCTCTTAGATCACCGAGATCAAAATATTTGATGAAACCTCTGTAGCAAGAAACCTCCAGCCCTGACAGTACCTTAAAAGCATTAAATATCCTAAAGGATCTTTTCTACAAGTCTCCTAGATCAGTAATTGTAGAAATCAGCTATCTATCAGTCAGATGCAGCAAGGTTATTTGTAAAATTGCGGTGTAATTTCCGGAATAATTCAATGTCTGTCGTCCATTTACATAATGATTTTATCACAAATGAGGGACACAGATCCAGCCACCTGGAGAGGGTGAAGCATCTGCTTTCATCCGTGCAATAGTCATAATTTAATTCAGTAAAGATGGAAAGATTTAAGATTTTAGTCTTAATAAACTGTATAACCGTGAATATTTATTTAGCAAGATCTAGATTTAAGTAACAAGGTCAGATTGTTAAGCAGGCAAATTGGTAGGAACTGATGAGTTTTGTCTTATCTAAGGTCTAAATTAGCACTCTACATGTAAATCAGCATGTATGTTGGTAAATAAATTGGCATTAAAAAAGGGCAGTTGGCATCAATCAGAGGGCAAGACCTCTCTCAAAAAAATAATTAATTAAGAAAAGAATATAAAGATCCATCAAAATTTTATTTTAAAATCCATATGAAATGACAACATACAGAGGCAAAACTTATCTTTTATTGTGATTTGAAAAAGTCCCAGAGAGACACAAAGTACTAAACAGACAAAATGGACATAATTAGCACAATTAAAAGACAATATGCAAATATACTGAGAAAAAAAAAATCAGTTGCAATAGTTGACAAAAGTTGCTTTTATACATCAGGGGTTCCCATGCTTTTTTTGTCAGCTCAACCCCCTTAATTAGTTACTTGAAGATATTTTTACATTTTCACATTTATTTATTATTCTTATTAAGTCACTTTATTTTAAGGTTCAATTCTCGCCATTAACAAACCATTAACTATGACATTTGCCTCAATAAACTCCTAATTTGCTGTTAAGTTTAGGTAGTGGGTAGGATGTAGAATATGGTCATGCAGAATATGTGCTTTATAAACACTAATAAACTGCCAATATGTAATTGCTAATAAGCAACTAGCTAATAGTGAGAATTGGTCCTTATACTAAAGTGTTACCTATTATTATTATTATTATTATTATTATACATTTTAATTAATTTAGTTTAGCACTGGTATTTCTATAATAAATTTCACAAACCCCCTGCAGTTAGTTGAGGAACCTCTAATAACTTCAAAGGCTGACCCTTGACCTTACTAAAAATTGAACACTGAAATGTACTAAAATGTTCATTATCCTTTTAAAATATAAATATGTAAACATCGATTTAATTTTCAGTGTTTGAATGTCACTTTCAGTGCCTTCATATGGTGTAATCCTCTCCTGTCCTTAGAACAGTCCTGATTCATAGCGTGTCAGTATTCATGTTCTTCCTGATTGGTCAGCTGGCTCACTCTGGCTGAGGTAAGCAGGAACGCCACGGCGGTACAGAGTTCTCCAACAAAAGAAACAGAGGCTAGAATTAGAGACCAGCCAAAGTAAATCTCAATGTCCTCCAGGGTTTTGTGGCCAGAGTTGCCCACAGCCTCTTTGAAGGCAGCCGCAGAGTAAGCCATGTAGACACAAATTCCAGCCACTGAGAGCACAGCTGTAAGGAACAGAGCAGGAAGACAGATGTTTGTAAGACATTCTCCACTGGATTTATATTGTAGAAGACAGCAAGCTCTAAATTCTTACATTATACTGATCCCGGACAGGAATCACACCTGATAAATTACGCTTTTACAATTGTTTTATGTCAAAATACATTCTCTTTACCCAGTTTATTGTTCACTGAGTTGACTACAATAAGTATGCCATTCATGGGTCTATCTCCCCAAAAAATGTAAACAACTGAGCCTCCCAGACACCATCAAAACAGCGGTCTGCTCAGATCTGTCAGTCTCTTTCCAGTTGAGCCAAGGGAGTTCAGCTGGCTCACACATTGCATGGGATAGTACCCAAAAATGAAAATTCTGCCACCTTTTACTCACCCTCAGGTCATCCCAAATCTGTATGAGTTTCTTTGAGTGAGCACAAAAGAATATATTTTGAAGAATGTTGGTAACCAAACAGTTGACGGTAGCCACTGTCTTCAAAAGTATGCACAAAAAAATACATTGGAAGTCAATGACTACAGTCAACTGTTTTTTTTTGTTTTTTTTCCCCATATTCTCCTTTCGTGTTCAACAGAAGAAAGAAATTTCTACAGGGTTGGAACAAGTGAAGGGCGAGTAAATGACAGAATTGTAATTTTTTGGGGGGTGAACTATCCCTTTAAAAAACTGGAAAAAGAAATTCAGTTTTTAGCAACAGAACATTCTGATTGGTTGAGCCGCGTTCGAAGCTGTTGTAAATTACTCTACAAACATACACCTTTGTTTACGTCTGTGTGTAGCTCGGCAACCACTTTGTTGTAACCACAACTGATTCTGAGGAACTACATTGTTTGGCGGAAGAATAATGTTTTATTAATATCATTACATATTATTTGCTTTGTTTTGTTTTATGAAACCTTGCTACATATATGGAATAACCGTTTTACTCCGCTTCACGCCGTGCCTAACAACGCCCCTTAGCTGTTATAAATTCACTGTAAACCACGGCTTCACGGGGCTTATTGCTTTATTTTAACACCTCGTTGCTGAGGAATATATTGTAGCGATCTAGTATCTAGGCTATTTTATTAATAAAAAATCTCGGGGAAGCGTTGACAACAAGTTTATCTGTGTGCGCAGCGAGATCTCAGACCTCTCTCTCTCTCCCTCAGTCTGTGTGTGTGTGTGTGTGTGTGTGTGTGTGTGTGTGTGTGTGTGTGTGTTGGTTATTGTGCATTAATTAAAGCAGCGCATTAATATAGAACGGTGATTAAACTGACTTGGAACTACCTGTGCATTAAACGGTTTTACTGCATACCTGCCAGCCAATCAGAATCCAGTATTCAGGCAGACCATGGAATAATTCATAATATTTCACAATTAGTCAAAACTTTAGTTTGACCAGATCTAAGTTTTTTTGATAGTTTAAAAAAAGCATTGCAATTTATTTATTTATTTTTTGTTTGTTATTAAGCTCACTTATGTTCATTTGTGTTATTTTATAGTTTATGACTTTACTATACTTCTAAAATGTGTAAAATAGTAAAAATAAAGAAGAAGCTGTGTCCAAAAGTTTGACTGGCATTTCAATTTATCTTTGTCAATGGAAACACACATTTTGTGAATGAACCACCACACCTTTTGTTCCGCCGTCTATGCAGCAGTGACAATGAAATGCTAGTCTAACACAGCCCTCCACAATGAGTACTTCATCATTGTACTTAAAAGCAATCCATTCACGCTGGTGCCCTTTTTACTTTAAAAAGCCCATGACGTTTGAGAACCCCCATCATCATCAGAGCCCATCAATTCCTAAATTCAGTCATTTATTGGCTGTGATCTGGTGACATTTAGGGCCATTGATCGCTGCTTTACAATGATTGCATGTTTTCATATCAATCTGATTAAGTTCAGAGGCCATGTTTGGTTTAGTTGTTGCCATGGTGTCTGCAAAGCAACATACAATGTTTTTTTTTGTGTCATAGGTACTGAGTGAATCTTGAAAAAGACAGGCTTTTATCCTGAGAGGGATTTCAAGTGTATTTTCTCACAAATGATGTGGGTAGGTATTTCATTGAACCAGTGTCTGTGTAAAAGAGTAGCAACAGTTAAATGGGTCTGGATAAAAATCTATTCCATTGTCAATGCCCCCAAGTCCCCCTTTTAAAGTTATATCATAAATAGAACTGAGAAGAATGCAAAGAAAAAGGCTCTTCCCAAACGCTGAATGTGATTTCATCGAGTACAACATGTTCCTGGATCAATGTCCTTGTTGATCCTGGAACAACATCCCAATCAACCAATCAGAATTGTGAGATACATTTACAGGAAATATCTGTTTTAGGTTTACAACAAGGGTTAAGTGTTTCTGCACCCTTGTTATTCAGCTATAATTTCCCTCTGATTGATTTTAGGGATACATTATGGGTTAGGTTTAGGGGTAGGGATAGGTCTATGTTTTTGGGCAGTAATGTTGATCCATGAACGTCTTGGCAAAATATGGGTTGCCATATGGGTTGCCGTGATTTTGCCAAGACGTTCATGGATTAAATATCTCTTAAAATGCATACAGCTGTTGCAAAAACATTTATTTCCAAGAGCATTTATGAATATTTTATGCTAAACAATATAATATAAATAATATAAAATACAAACATAAACAAAATGCTAAAGACTAAGTGAACCATTTAAATCTTATCAGTCAATATTGGGACTACTTTTTTCCATCTGGTTTTTGTTGTGAAGTTTATTCATTACTATCAAAACTGTCTTGCTCTGTCAAGCGTGATGTTGGCAGAATGAATATTCATGCCGCACAAGAGGATCAATCAGAGGTGAACGCGAGAGTGACGCTCACCACCGAACAGAAGCAGCACTCCGGTCAGGAGGAGCAGCAGGTAGGCTCGTGCCAACATACTGATGAAGCCCAGCATTCCTCCGATAAACAGCACGATCACACTGAGAGGCAGCAGGACGATGAACGTTCCTTGCATGTCTGGAAAGAGAAGAGGTCTGGATGTGTCAGTGCCAGTCACAATCCCAGTGGATTCATGCAGATTTTTTCCCTCTTTGGTCCAGTCTTTGTCATGCAAATTGGACTAATTTGAAAATCGTTACTTTTATGTTTGGCGCAACAAACCATCACAGCCTGACCATTGGGCCCAATTAATTTTGTCTGTCTACTTTTCTGAAAACTTTTGTGGCATTGAAAGATTTTGTTTATTCATTCGGAATGGTAATCAACAAGGCTAACCAGCATCATTTCAAAGCTTTATGCAATGATGTTTGTTCCCCATTGTGTGATGTGTGATGAGAGACATTGTATGAAGTTGCCATTTGTGCCACAGTTTCCCCAGATGCACATAGCAGCTGGCATATTTTTGACAGTTTTGATGTTAGGCTATTAAAATATGAGGTCACATATGAATGTATTCATGTAGAATAAGAATATTTCATAGATGTCATAGGCTTCCATACCACTCATTCACAGGCTATCTAACCACTGGGTTCATAATGACTTAAACCTATGCTCTTTGAGTAGACCAGTAATAATAATTAGCCTATCGTTATTAAAGGAAAAAGCTGGGAGCCAGCCTAGGAGACGCAGGTGAGTGAATGTAAAAAGCTCATTTGACTTTCTTTGTGTAGACTGGACGGTCAAAACGCAGCTCTTGAGACTTTGTAAGTACTTTATAAAAATATCTATAAAAATGTACAAACAGAATATTAATTTCGGAACAGGATTTTGATAGCAAAACATTGAAATTTTTTTTTGTAGATGTAGACAATCACCGTGCGTATGTTAATAAATTAAGTTTTGTAAGATAAATGCATAGTTGTTTATATATGCATGTATCTAGATGTTTTTTTAAGTAATTCATACTTTTATTAAGCAAAGATGCACTGAATTGGCAGTAAATACATTTATAATGTTACAAAACATTTCACATAAATGCTGTTCTTTTGAGTGTTCTATTTTATGTAAGAATTCTGAAATAGGAAATGTTTCCTGAGCACATTAGAATGATCATGTGACACTGAAGACTAGAATAATGGCCACTGATTTTTTATTTATTTTTTGCCATCACAGGAATAAATTGCATTCTAAAAGTAATATTTCATAATATACATTTTTACTGTATTTTTGATTAAATAGATGCAGACTTGGTGAGGCTTATTTCAAAAACATACATTTATTTTAAATGTAATATATTTTTTATTTGCCATAAATATAATTTTAAATAAATAAAATTGTATATAGGCCCTATTTATATCATTTATGTAAACATACACATGTATTTTATATTGCCGAACATGCTTGCCAAGATAATTAGAGACCAGAGTTTGTATTGATTAGAGGGTTTTAAAAGAAAGACGGCCCGTCCTTGTGCATCTATTAAGCATTAAGATTAATGATAGTACAGCATGTTCAAAGTGATGGATTTTCTTTAATGGCTTCATTATGGACCACAAAAGGCTGTTAGTCATGATGGGATGTGAAGGAGACAAGAAAGACCAAAACCTGTTTTTGTTGTAATATGATGTATGAATTTAAATGCCCTTATACAGAAGGACACAGACATTTAGATTGCATTTTTTTCACTTTAGTAAAAATGTTGATTGACTAGTCTACTTTTTACGCTAATGCAAAGCCCAATTCAAATTGTTGAGCTCCATATTGACATGTTTGGACATTTTCTGCAAAGAAACACAACAGGCAGTACAGACAGTGACAGGCTGTCATTCACGATCAAGTCAAAGATCACACTGTCATATTATAATCAGGCCAGCTATTATTTTCATTCTGGAACAGCCACAATATGTCTAGGTGATTGAATTGGACAGGCATATTTCAATCTACTTTCACTGCTTTTCCGAACTGATTCTGCACTATTCTTGTAGCAGCCATAAACATTTCAAAAACAAGCTGCCCACGATTATGTTGGACACATATAAGGTGTTTCTTTTACTGTTTATCCGAGGATTATCTATAGGCCAACAATCCAGCACAGATGCAGGGAAAGACATATTGAACTACGTTCCGGGGGGAATTTATCTAAGCTTTGTGCAGCGGCTACTATCTAATCAAAGCAGCAGCCTGGCAACCCAGACTTATTGAATCTATTGTTCAAAGCAGAACAGAAACTAAATCCAATCGAGCCAGTTTAGGGGTCATGCGACTCGGCATCAGTGTGGAAAAGTCTAAAAGAAATCACCAATTACAAGACACCATCCCCCAGCACTGCGGTGAATCAACAACTGGCAGACGATCTGAACGAGTTCTACTGCAGGTTTGAAAAGACACCCCACACCCGCCCTGAACACCTCTCCACACAACCATTCACACCTCCAGCAACCCCCCTCTCCCCGCACATAATATACAGTACCTGTACATACAAAAACTGTCTATTGTAATATACCTGCACATACAACTGTCAATTTATATATTTTTATTCCTTATTTACTTGTTCTATTTTTTATTATCTGCGTTTTTTGTTCTGTCACTGTCATTCTGTTACACTGTGGAAGCTTCTGTCACGAAAACAAATTCCTCGTATGTGTAAACATACCTGGCAATAAAGCTCATTCTATCTTCTATCTTCTATCTATGAATCTGAGATAATCTTGGTTTTACAACCTCATTACAATCTCTTGTGGCAGGTACAGACAATGTTTCAGGTATGGACAGAGAGCATGTGAATTTTAAAATCTCATTCAGTCCTACACAAATGCCTTGAATGACTCAGACAGGAATATTATTTGATTGTGTATGATGTACGGGATGGATAAAAAGACTTTTTTTTTTTTTTTTGGTTGGAGACATTTTGTATCTCAATTTACTTTTGCTTTTCTTAATGGCTTTTCTACAGTCATCAATACTATAAATTATTAACACATTTTGCGAGCTGCAATTGCAATTCTACATTTATTGGCTCAGTCTAAAACAAAATAAATTATTCCTGGTGATTGTTTGGCACTAAAAAGACGTGAAATTTGGAGTGATGTTGTACATTAGTATAGGCTATGGCCAACAGCCACGTTGAAATTATGAAAAAAAGACAAATCAAAACAAAGGAAATAATGCTGCAGGGTGTGCTGGCAGGTGGGCCCACAATATTAGCGGAGAAACGCATGCCATGGTTCACTGTGGTGCACTTTTTGCAGCTGTGTTTCTACCACAGCTGTTTCTGCCCTCTGATTGAAGAGTGTTTCCATGACAATCCAAAGATAATAGGGCAATTGGAAGGTATTATGTTCAATTTCTTAGCATATAAGAAATGTTAATGATGGCATTCAGGTGAAAATGGCCTTAAAACATTGTTCTCGCATTGTTCCTTGTTCTCGTAGTCTATGAATTTAAATACATATTTTAATTTCTTTCTGTGCCTCTAACTGTAGGATGCAAATATACATGCAAAATGACTTCTTTTTAAACTTCTGATGTTGAATTTTATTTAAAAACTTTAAATGGCAAGGGGAAAAACAAAACAAAAACACTGACGTATTGAGGAATCCCTTTTAATATTGTCATTTTTATTATTACTGTAATATTATTGTAATTTTTCTGTTACTGTATTTGTTGTCAAATTGTCAAAATATCTTATAAGGCTGTATGTTGTGATTTTGCACCTGTTTCTGTAGTGCAAACAGGTTATAAACGGTGTGGCTTCCTGTTGATGTGTCAAGTTTCGCTCCTCTGCTAGTCGTAAATGAAAGATTTTTTCAACATAGAAAGAACATGGTCTTGGTTGAATGTCAATAATTCATGTGAAAAAAATTAAGAACAAGAACCTGAACATTAGTGTTTTTAGCTATTTTTTAAATCTAATATATATATATATATATATATATATACACACACAGTTTATTATTAAATATTATTAAATGCTTTCTGCTAAATATATAGTTGTTTAGGTATGTTTTATTATTGCTTTACAGAACAATTAGTCTAAAAAAATGTATATTTTTATTTCATATCAGATACTTTACCAAAACCTTGTAAATTAATATTTAAACATTGAAAGAATAAAACACAAGAGCATATACTGTATACTGCAGTAGTATAAAGCCACACCAAGGAGTTTTAAACTAAACAGATTACATACTTCTGCAACAAGTGTTTGCTGAGTGAAGCTTATTAACAAATACGAAATCATGAGATATGAGTATATGACACATAGATCTTACTTAGTATCTGCCTTTGCGATTCTGATAAGTTTCTTCCTGTTCCAAAAGGATTCATAAATGTCCAGCATTGGTTATGAACTGCAAAGAGAGAATAACTTCATCCATCTACATGAAAACCTCATGCATTAAAAAAATCACAAGCAAAATGTCAAACACAAACATGTAAAGTGACTTACAGTTACAAGTCCTCCACAGTCCAGAATGTGAGCTCAGAGACACCGATGAGCTGTTTTCTCTCTTAGAAGTGTCAATGATGTACCAAAAATCGGTTCCAATTGCCAGAACGAGACTTACAAAGCTGAGGACACCAAAGATGGCCACAAAACTGGCCAAACCTGTGAAAGTGATTTTCATTTTGTCTGAATGCAGTGTTTGAAGAGAAACTCCTCCTTCTGGTGCTTTACGTGTTGTTCTTTCCCTCAGCGCTGCCCTTCTGGAAGCCCCTCGCTGGATGCTGTGCTGTTTATCTATTATAACTGCTACTGTTGGGCGATTTTACCAAAAGAGGGCAGTATGGTCCACACTCTCTCTCTCTCTCTCTCTCTCTCGCTCTCTCTCTCTCTCTCTGTCTCTCTCTCTCTCTCTCTCTCTCTCTCTCTGGTTGACTTTCAACTGTAAACTGTGGTAGCTACAGATAAATACCTCTGGTGATTAAAAACCACAAAACATGATTAGTTATAGTCGTAATTGCTACAGATGCTATCATTCCCCCTCTCTCATTAGTATGCAAACCTTTGTTTGTTTGTATCAGATGATTACCACAGGGACCTCTAAATTAAATTGATTGGTAAAGTCTTTCAGCTCACGACCCCAGTCAGTTGTCAGGCAGGTTTCTGTTCCTGTACGATCAAAAATCAGAAAACTGAGTGGATGAACAGTGTTCTCTATTGACAAAATATCAATAATAATAGTAATAATAAACATTACTTCCAGCATTTTAAAACATGTTTAGAAATAATAGTAGTATACGTTAAAGGGTTTTTTTTCTTACAGAGGTTTTTAACAGCGATTATTTATCATTAATTAATAAATAATAATAATAATATATTATTATTAGCATATTATTATTGTGTTGTTGTTGTTGTTGTTAATATTATTACAATTATTTGTATTATTATTAGTGTAAATAATAAATTTGCGAAAACATTTGATAATAATATAAATCGTTTTGTTTATAAATGTGCCAAATAATAAAATAAAATTAATAAAAACAAAAGTTGACAAATGGAGTCATCATTAAATTCATAAGTATTGTATATTTAATATAATAATAATAATAACAATAACAACAACAAAAATAATAATATAATAAATATATATAATAATAATAAATTATATTTATATATTTCTTACAATTAATTAAATAGCATAAAAATAAATACTGTCAACATATTTAATACAAATATTTCTGATTTTATTTGAATATTAATAAAAACGAAAATGACAATAATTCATAGCATATACCTACAGTCGTGGTCAGAATTATTGGCACCCTTGGTAAATATGATCAAAGAAGGCTGTGAAAATAAATCTCCA